CGTACCGGGTCGACCCCCTTCGGCAGCGACGAAGGGCCGCCCGACTGGAGGTTCTGTAGTCCGGAACTACAAGAGAGTATTTGCGCGCGAAGATGCGGAAGACGAACGAGACAGGGAGGGGAGCACGCTTAGCCGTGTACCGGATCACCGTCCTGACAAAGGAACAGAAGGCCTATCCTAATTTGTCACTTGTGGGGATGTCTGCACTCCTACTCGAAATGAATTCCAAGACGGCGCTCACAAATATGGTCCCTTGGGCTCTGCGCTCATGACGTAGCTGAGATGGGAGGATTGCCTCAGCGTCATCTGTACCGGGCCGACCCCAAGCAAGCACCAGTGCGTGCGGTTACGATATTCCCGCCCGATCATGCCGTGCGCTCGTAGGAACAGGCTATAGTTGTGGTTCTTCTGCCGCCTGATTTAAGCAGTTCCAACTTTCAGGATTCGTCGTACGTCCTCCCCGTTTTCATCGATGAGTTCCGCAAGATCCTCCACGGCCATCCAACAGTTGTGCGTGTTCACCCAACACATCGTCCGAAACACTCGATCCCTGGCGATTGTCCCGCTGCGCAACACGACGAGGTTCATGCGCGCGTTCGATCGGAAATGCACATGTGGCATGTGAATTAGCGAAATATATGTCCCAGACGCCTTGATGTTTCGAGATAGCCCGAGCAACTTCGCGCGACAAGCCCGGGAAAACCATTCAGAAACCTTGAACTATATCCAACACGTTCCGTTGACTATCCGCGCCTGGCTGACATTTTTACCATTATGGCGTTTTCCACCGGCGGCCAGAGAACCGCGCTCGTTTTTCGTGTAGAATGCAGAAACGCACCGGTTTTATTTCTATTTCGGACGCAAACAGTCTAACAAATTGCATGTTCGACTGTCTGTCCCAGATCACGCGGTACGAATCGTACCTCCATTCAGCATCGCTCTGAACTGCGTCGCTCCTCCGGGGTGGAGACCCGGACATTCCGTCGCCACCCTGCCCGACCTCGCGAACGTCCAGTGGATCCAACAAATCCGAGCCATCGCAGGATAACACATCGCTCTGTTCCTCGATCTCCCCCTCTTCATCATTCTGTACGCCAACAACACCAGATGCCAGCTCACCCTCTGCCTCCGANACATTCCGTCGCCACCCCGCCCGACCTCGCGAACGTCCAGTGGATCAAAAAAATCCGAGCCATCGCAGGATAACACATCGCTCTGTTCCTCGATCTCCCCCTCTTCATCATTCTGTACGCCAACAACACCAGATGCCAGCTCACCCTCTGCCTCCGAGCCACCGCGGGATAACACACCATTTTGTTCCTCGGTCTCCATCCAATCGTCACCCTCTGCTCCTACAACACTAGATGACTTACGCGGGACACCGAGCTCGCCCTCTATCATTCCATCTGCGCTGAACTCCCCTCTCTCGCTTTCGGGGGAGGCAGGTCGGTCATCCCTAGTGGATTTCTGGAAGTTGTCGGGTCGAGGTTCTCCCCGCTCGCGAGGCTCCCCTATGTCGGCGTGCTTAGAGCCACCCCATGGGGGGCTAACGCCCCCTTCGCCCCCAGTTACGGCAACATAGTTTTCCTTGAAATCCATCCCCACCGACGCCAAAAGCTGAAGAGGTCTCGACAGATTCGTTTGGCGCCTCGTGCTTCCAAGCTCTTTGGGCTCTACCGATCCTAGAAATTGCTGAATTGCACCTAGTCGCCAGCCAACCATTTTCTCGACGCCACCGTGTCTTAGCCAACAACCGGCCGGTTCTATACGGTTCAACCCTCTCTGGACTTCGACTACCGTCAACGGTCGGTTATCCGTTGTAGATGCGTCCATCATGTGGGTCTGGACAAAGAATGCGAACGCGCGCGACGCGGCGGGTAAGCACAANGGCGCGACGCGGCGGGTAACCACAAGCAGTGTGGCCTGGAAAAGCAAGCCCGCCATACATATACATACTGCTGTAAATATATTGCAATAAATTATCAAGCTGGCACCACCAAACCTCCGCTTTTCACGCCTCGGTATCGTTTATTGCTCCTGTAACACCACTAGGTCGAAACGCGGGCGATGAGCCGTCCTGGACCCCACGCAGGTGGTGTCCTGCCTTATCTGTCCCGACGGTAATCACGCCGGGAAATTTCCAGTCTAAATCCCTATTAATAGGCATATTTACTGCTGTAAATTCCGCTTAAATGGAAAACGCTGTTTCTCCGTCGTTTATGATCAGACTCCGGTTTTGGGACATTCATACGAAAGCTATGGGTCAGGGCCATCTTTTGGAAGCGTCAAAAAAAAATGCACAGTACTTGCACTGTCTAAAAACGCCTATATGTGCAGAAAAACGCACACTTTTGGGAGCCAGTACACCGAAACCGAAATTTTGAAGGTTTGGCAACCGAACGCACCAAAACTCTTCGGAGGGCGTTGCATGTTCACATACTACCTATATCAGTCGCCTTTTGCACGGCGCCTCGTGTGTACAGCTTTTCCGATCGGCTTGACCGCCCCTCAGCACCCCATTTGGCGGAAATCATGTCCTCATTTCCAGAGGGTGAGGAAACACCGACGCCGACACGTTCCTAAACTTCTGCGGGCACTGCACGACCGTCACACATATGGAGCACACCCTCAGCGTGCGAGTACGTGAGTTCATCCACTACACGCCTTATTCGCGCCGGGGCGGTGTGCTGGAGAATCGTATATCCGGCAATTCCGCCGCTTCAAAGCTGCTGATTCTGTGGTCGGCGACGACAAGTCTTTCGGTCGTGCATTGTACGATGTGACACTTCGTATATATCATATCATGCGTATTTCCTCTGGGTCACACCGGTTGTTGTTCTGGGCACGTCGCTGCCCTCCTGCTTGCGGGCCGCCGTAACAAGTGCGGTCTAACCAGGTTTTGTCATGTTTTTT